GCCCGGCGTCACTGGACGTCCTCCAGACCCCTCCCGGCCCGCGCCCCAGCCCCTGGGCTGCAGCATCACGTGGCTGGCTCTGGGCAGCTATGGCATGTGGGGCTGGCTGCGTCCTCGCTGCGACCCTGCCCCGCCCAGGCCTCTGCCCGGGTCACTCTGCACAGTGAGCCCGGGTGGCGCTGTGTGGGGGCTGCAGGCAACGCTCAGCTGGCCAGCAGCCCACCCCGCCCCACTGCCCGCTGCACGCCTGGGGCCGGCCTGCAGGTCTGGGGAGGGCTGGACTCCAGCGGGCCGGTCGGCGGGCGCAGCGCAGCCTTCGCGGCAGCTGTTTAACCCCAACACCCCGCGGCTTCTCGCGTGTAAAACAAGCTTTGGAGACATTATTACCGTCTCCCTGCGAGTCCAGCCGCCTGCTGAGACAATGTATATACAGCGGGGAGATACCTGCGCCCGCCAGCCCAGGCGCTGCGCTCGGGCACGGTGTTCATCCCGCCGTGTGTGCCCGGCCTGCCCTGGCGCCCCAGATGCCACCCATTCGGGCCCAGAGCCCCTGGGCGAAGGGGAGGTCAGCGCTCCATGGGGAGATACCAGCTGCGCCGGCAGCCGTCTGCACGGTCAGTCCCCCCCACCCCCAGTCTCCAGGGCACTACGCCACTCCCAGGACGGCTGTGCTGGGGCGGGAAGGGGTCAGACTTGGGGTTCAGGTGGGGCGGGAAGGGGTCAGACTTGGGGTTCAGGTAGGGCGGGTTGGTGCCAGCTGTGCCCAGGCCACGTACGAGTCAGGTGCCCTGTGGACTTTAGCTGGGGGTCGTCTCTGGGACCTGGGGGCCACCCCACTCCTGGAATGAGTCCCTGGGACAGAGGCTCAGAAACCACTGGAGCCCCATGACAGACCCTGCCCCCACCACAGGGTGGCCTGCACGGCTGGGCTGACTTGTGCACCATTTCCTGGGCCACCGAGCCACGTGTCCAAGCACGTGGCCCAGCTCAGCCATCCCCGGCAGGAAGCTGCAGGGCGAGCTGTGTGGCGGGCGTCCCGGTGCGGCTGCGTGCTCAGGGACGCCGGTGAAGCCCAGGGGCGTGCGGCCCACATGGAGCCGGCCCCGCCCTTCCAGGGCCGCTGAGGCAGCCCAGCCCCTGGGCTGGCGCCTGGCGCGGACCCTGGCATCCCCCCACGTGCTCTGCACCCTCTTCCCACGCCGCGCCTCCCCACCCTGGTTCCCTGCGCCATGTCCACGGGTGGGTCCCGTGTGGCAAGTCCAACATTCCGCCGATGGGGAGCTGCTGCAGGAAGTCGGGCGCCAGGGAAGTTTCCCTCCCTCCCTTTGCCTGCGGACACTGGCGGGGATATTCAGAGCCAGGGCCCCTGCCTCTGCCCGGTGGCCCGTCCACGGCCTCTGCTTTCCAGCCTCGGACCGCTGTGCTGCGCTCCCGGGCCTGGGCACCGGTGCCCTGCCACGCGTAGCCCCCGGTTTCCACACGGGGCTGGCACTCAAGCCGTAGCCCCCGCTGAGACGGGCAGAGACCCCCGTGTCCCTCTGCTGGGTCCTCGCACCTGGCCCTGGGCTTAGGGTGAGGCGGTGAGGGAGGGTCTGAACGCGCTGCACAGAGCAGATGGTGCCAGCTCACTCCGCTGCTCTGCCAACCACGAGGTCCCCACAGAACCATCGCCGAGCCAGCCAGCTCCCTGGGTGCCTGTGTTGCCAGTTGCTATGGCAACGTCCCAGCGCAGCACCAGGAATAGATGGTTTTGAAGGGGTAGGGGTGGGGGTGGGTGGTGTCTTGTAAGAAGTGTGAGGTGTGGGGGGGAGGGGATTTTCCCCGAGGGGTGCTTCGCGTGGGTGCAGGGCGCCAGGGCGCTCCCCGAGGTGGGGTGCTCCCTTCTACCCCGTCCCCAAGCCCGTCCCGCCAGCGAGCGGCTCTCGCTTTCATTCTGGAGAGGTCATCTCGTCTGCTGTCCGTCTCGAGCCCAGGTCCTTGTGTCGGGCAAGTGGCAGCCCGAGGGGCGAAGTCCAGGCGGTCAGGCCTGGGCAGCCCTGCGCATCCGAGCCCTGGATGCCAGGACTTGGGGCCAGACGGGCTGGGTCGTAGCCCGGTTCCCACTTCGTGCTGAGCCAGCAAGTCCGACTCGGCCGCTCGCCAGGTCTGTCAGCAGCGGTCAGGGGCCCACTGCCAGGAGCTGCTTCAGCAAGTCGGGGACCCACAGGGCAGCTGTCGGGACGCGAGGCAGGACCTCAGCTGCCACCACCGCGGGAGCTCCCCAGGGGACCCCGGTCTGCCCAGGTGGGCCCCGCCCCGCCTGCTCCCCTAGAATGAGCTTCCTTACCAGGACGGCGGACGGCGGCCTTTGGCCCACCTGGGATACCCGCCGGCAGCGGCACCGCGCTTGGCTGGCACCTGTGGACTCGGCCAAGTGGACTGGCCACAGAGGCTTCTCCCCAGGGCAGGCCTGGGGACGCTCCTGCAGGGACGCCGGAGTGGTGACGCGAGGCGGGAAGCCCATCGGGGCCGAGCAGGCGGACCCCACAGGCGCCCGGCGGGCAGTGCGTGGGCTCTCCGGGACCAGGATGGACACGAGTCACCCCTTACCAACCGTGTCCATTTCACAGGCGCCAGCAGGGTCCAGAAGGCGTGGAAGCCCTGTTTAGTGCCCCGGGCTGGGGACGCTTCACCTACGAGAGCCTCAGCCGGCTCAGAGTCCGTCCGGTGGGAGGACGTTTCCCGTGCTCACCCCACCTCACTCTCTAGGCTGGCGGCAGGCTCCGCCGGCCTCGGCGTGGGCCCTGGTGGTCGCCCTCCCAGGCACCCATCCGGGGCCACGCTGTGGAAAGGCGGGGTCCAGCCCGGGGTGGGGGTGTGTGGTCCACACTCAGATACACCCCATCCTTGGAGGAAGCGCCCGACTGGACCCCTGTGCTCTGGGGTCAAAGCGGCCCACGCTCTCCCCTGCCCTCCCTCGCCGACCCGCCGACCCGCCTCGGCCCGGCTCCGCGGTTTCCAGGCGGAGCGGCTGTGTGACGCAGGAGACAGGCTGGGAGGAGACGCAGGGCAGCCACGCCCAGTGTGGAGGAGACCCAGCGCAGGTCCCCGACTCTGCTCACCTCTGTGAGGGGCCCCCTGGGGTGCCACTGGCTCCGAGGCAGGGGCTGGCCAGGAGGCAGGGGCTGGCCAGGAGGCAGGGGCTGGCCAGGAGGCAGGGGCTGGCCTGGAGGCAGGGGCTGGCCAGGAGGCAGGGGCTGGCCAGGAGGCAGGGGCTGGCCAGGAGGCAGGGGCTGGCCAGGAGGCCGCCTGTCCTGGCTCGTGTGCAGGCGCCTCCCCAGCGGCAGGGCCCCATGCCAGGCTGCGTCCAGTCCCCCGGCAGGTGGTGCCCCAGGACCCACGGGACACCTCGCACTTAATAATTTAAGTACCGCGATTTGAGTCGTCCCCTGCCGCGCTCACCACGGGGTGCCCCCGGCCAGTAACTCATGTGAGCGGCCCCGAGCCACCGCCTGCCTCCTCGCCAGGCCTGACGGGCAAGGCCGGGTGTGCCAGCAGCCGCGCCAAGCAGGGGCCGAGGCCTCACGGTCCTGCCGCCTGAGTTTTTCGCTTCACCTGGGCGGACGGAGCACCCTGGCCGCTGAGAGCCCGTGCTGCCTTCCCTGGCCCGTGGGCCGCCTCCCCTGCCGCAGAGTCCTCAGGGCGTGGGCTCGGGCCACTGCTCAGGTCATGTGCACAGCACAGCAAGTCCAGCTCACACTGTGGTCACCTCAGAGGTGACCAGAGCGGCCACCTTGCCCCCCTCGCTGAATCAGACTCTGCCGAGACAGCGCCCCCTGCCCTGGCCCACGACTCCCGTCTGCAGGCTGCTGGCCGACGCCTCCGAGGAGCCCACGCAGGCTTCGGGCAGGGCAAGCTGCCGTCCACCTCCTTCCCGGGACCCCGAGGCCGGCCCTGCCCCCGCCGCCACCTCCCCAGCATCGTCTCCCCTCACTCAGGGACTCAGGGCTGCCTCGGCGCTGGTCAGCACGGAAGCGCCCCCAGACGCGGATCCCCACAGTACAGCAAGTCCAGCTCACACTGTGGTCACCTCGTAGGTGACCCGTGAGCCCCTGCCCCTTCCCGTGACCGCGCTCCTGCTCGCTGCAGTGTGTGCGTGACGCTCGGCCAGCGCTCACCCTGCCCACCGGGGACCTGACGGCCTGGCTTCTCCCGGTGGCCCCCACGCAGGGCCAGCAGGCGCTGGCCAGCGTAAGGGAATAAACGGGAGTGGCTTCCTCTCGGACAAGACAGTAGACATGGGGGCGTCTCCCTCGGGGCAAGCCTTCCTCTCCCCGGTTTAGCTACTCACGCGGCCCCGGCCCCGGGTGCGGTGAAGCCTTGTACCTCACACGCCCCGAGTGCCCCCGCTGGGTGGGCACCGGCCTCCTGTCGTGGAGAGGGTGCGAGGGCGCGGGGTTGGCCTTCGGCACCTCGGGCTGCAGACTGCGCAGTGAGGGCCGCGGCCGCTCCCTCAGACGCTGCCTCTCCTGGCCACCCTGCCGACGCAAAAGCCCAGTGCCTGAGCACCTGGCTCACGGGCCAGACCGCGGCCGGCTGGGGCCGGGTCATCTCCGATCATCGTCTCGAGGCTCGTGCTTCCACTTCCTAGCGATGTATTATCCTCAGTCTGAGAGGCCTTTGATTCACCCTCATTAAACCTTGACGGATATCAGACCAGAATCTACGTGATCGTGACTGGGAATCACTTAAGAGTAACTGACAATAAAGTTGTTCACACAAGTTCTTGGAACAGGCAAAGCCTTGGGTCAGCCGCCTGGTAGTTTTGTTTGGAAAGAGGCGACTTAGGTAGCATTTGCTCAGTGGCATCCAGAACACGGAGCTGAAGCCGCCCTTCACTGTGTCTTAAAATCTGGAAGCAAGGCCCTCCCTGGTGGCGCAGCGGGTTAAAGCACAGCTAAAGCTAAAGCCGCTTCCGCATGAGTTCGATTCCCGCCTGCCCCGGAGGTGACCCCAGGGCGCGGCAGACCTCTCCTGACCCACCCGCTGCTCCCCTCAGCAGTGGACTTCGTCGATCTGCCTGTTCTGCTCCCCGCTCTGTCCCTGGTGAGTCCTCTCACCCTCAGCATCTCTGGCCTGTACCCCAGTTCTGTACAAATAAATAAATAAATCTTAAAAAAAAAAAATCTGGAAGCAAAAGCACTTAGACTTCGCAGCTGTAACAAGCAAACGTGACGACAGAATAAAAGCGCTTCCCGGGGAAAGTCCTGGGATGCACCTGGGAGGGCTCCAGCGGCCCTCCTGGCTGAAGGCCCCCGGTGGGCTCACCTGGGCCCCGCTGGCCCCGCCGCCTCGCCTCCCCGGCCGCCCGGGGCCCGCTAGCCCCCACCCCGCCTCCCTGGCCCGCCCTCCATGCCCGGGCTGAATCCGTCTTGGCCAGGATACATACTCCAGAAGCTTTTGCAAAAGAAGCTCCCTTGTCAGCAGGCACATCCAGAGCTTTCTGCATCTTTCCCAGGATGCGCGAGTCTCAGCTCAGGCAGGCGTGGGCTTCCCTTTCCCAGATTCCCTCTCCTGCAGTCACGGAGTCCCGACATCCGGTGCCCGAGCCTGTGGGAGGCCTGCTGGCCACTGTGCTGGCTGTCAAGTGTGCAGGGGTGGGCGGACAGGGAACCTGGAGGCCTTCCTTCCAGAGTCTCATGCACTCTGGGAAAGCGCGGCGGGAGCTCATTTCACTAATGGCTGCTTCCGCCTTCTCTGCCAGAGCCATTATCCGCATCCTGTTTCCCAGGGCAGCCTTTAACGTGGCCTCGCCTCATCTGGTGCTATCCGTCTTTAGTCTTTGTTTACTTCCTGAAGAGTTCTTCCAGATTGTTCCACAGCAACCGTACTACTGAGTTGGTCACGTCTGCCTGGGTTTGCAGACGCCGAGAGCTCTTTTTGTTCTCCAGCGAATTTCCCGGGAAGATCTGGTCTCCTGTTTCTCATCTTGGATGCCGTATCTTGAGGATACGCGTGACCTTTGGTGACTCTCCCAACTTCACCCCAAATACTCCAACCTTTTCTTCCTGCTGGTTCGCTTTGGTTCTGCTTTTCAGACATTTCCCTCAGCTTCTGGTGACCTTTGATTGCTCGCTTAAGTTCAAGCGCCAGAAATAGAGACCTTGGTGTGTGTCCGAGACAGGGCAGGACTGGCCCCGCCACGTGGTCAGCAGAGCCCAGTCTTCGGGTCTCCCTGCTGCTGGGCAGAGTGCTTGAAGTTGAAGCGGGGAGCTCGGAGGGGAAGCAGCCGGGCGACCTCGCATGAGCACCCCAGGTCTTAACCTCACCCCAGATGCTCTGGCAGCTGGAGATTGTGTTTCTCACTCCATGAGTGACCTCCCCGTCCCTGGGCAGGCAGAGAGTGGGGCTATGAGGTGCAGGCTGTGACGGCTTCTGGCTGTCGCTGTTTCTAAACGGCTGTCGTGAGTCTTCACTTTAAAACCTACCCCCCGGCCTCCTTCCCCTCCTCCCGAGAAATGCTGGGCACCCACCCCCCATATGCTGTTCAGAGTAGAACTTTCTCAGGGAGGCTGAAATAGGTGCTTTCCGGTCCCTGAAATGTGTTGCTATCTGCTACTCTTCCTCCTGTTCTTCTGGACTTAGTTTTGCAATTCGCCCCTCTGTAGTTTCAGTGGGGATTCAGTGAGTGAAAGCAGCTGTGTGTGTAGAATATGCCATTTTGGGGAAGGACAGGATGCTCTAGGTAAAGGGTTCTGGAACACCCTGCCCCTGCCTGCCATCAGCTGTGTGATGGGTCCCGGCCCCTTCCCCTCTCCAGGACTCAGCAATTCAACCCCTTCTTTACCCAACAAGGCAGTTGCTACCTGGGGAAAGTGCAGGAGAGAAAGCTGAGGACGAGCCATCCTGGGAGCCACGCCGAGGTGGGGTCAGCACACCTCGTCAGCAAAGCTTTCTACAAAGGCCTCCTAACGAGGCCGGTCAGTGCTGGGCGAGCTGGGAGCATCCCGTACACAGCGCTGTGTGACTGCAGCGGGGCTTGGTGACATCTCTGGCACTGCTTGATTCAGCACCGTGGTGCTGGACAGCTCCGGACAGTCCTGTAGCCGCGACAAGACAGGCTGGCGAAGACTGGCAGCCACGTTAGGGTGCACGCTTGCACAGGAGCTTCACCCCTGAGCGGCAGCTCAGCCCATGGGGGCAGCAGGTAGGCAAAGGTCCCAGCCCCGAGTCCCCTGACACCCTCTGGACATTCTATGTGGTTCTCAGGGATCAGTCTGCAGCAGGTCCGAGTCTCACTTCCCCTCTGCAGGAAGCAGAATTAAAGCACATTTTGGTTGGTTACCAGGAGGGAGAGGATCATCTCACTCCCTCACTGTGCTCCTGGGACAGCCTCCAGATAATGGCCCTGCCCCAGCCCTGCTCTCAGGAAGGGAGGCGGCAATGAGGATGAGTCCAGTAAGCACCCCCAGTTTGCTCAGGCCAACCACCCACACAGGGAGCCGGCAGCTGACTGGTGTAGCCAGTGCCACTGTCCTGGGAGCCCCCAGTTCAGTCAGTTCACTGGGGAGAAACCAGCAACAGCCTGGGCATCAGCGTGAAGGAGGGTTGGGCGGATTCCCCAGGCCAGGCTGATGGCTGGGGCCGCAGGGGAGGGATTTCAGACTTCCCTCCGGGACCTTCGAGGGAGGAAGCCACTAGCACTCCTGGCGAGCAGCAGTCTGACAGCTGCCCCTGGAGAGACACGGACTCTCAGGACAGCTCGTGCTGAGCGGACATTCTAGGTAGCGTCACCCACGTCACCTGTTTGAGTTGAACTGTGGTCAGCGAGTCCTGTTCCCACTGAGCACGCCCCAGCAGGGCCCTTCTGCTCATCGTAAGGGGGCTCAGAGTTCACTGGTGCCCGGCCTCCCTGTCCGGGGAGGTCAGTGTTTCTGGGCACACTGTGCTGAAGCTCTTCCAGGCCGAGCCTCCTGAGTGTCCACCTCCATCCCTTCAGGGACTCTTCTCCTCCAGGACAGGAGTTGCAGAGAAGTGAGCGTTCGTGTCGCTCGACAGGCCTAGAAGGCTGCTTGCCTGTTTGCCTGCTTCCACCCTTTGCAGGTTCAGGAGCTCCTGCTCGTACGGGTGACATGCAGGTAGATCCACGGGCCCCAGGACGGCGGCAGTGGAAGACTGCCGTGACCAGAGGCCTGTGACATGTGAGAAGATAAGGTGGTTCTGGCAGTGCCCTCAGCTCAGGGTGACCCAGCAGCCCGGGCACAGCCACCCTGCCTCAGGCCCCCTGAGTCGGGAATGTGCCCTAACCCCGATGCCCATCGGCCACTGGGTGGCGGGGGTGTAAGTAGAGGACACTAACCTCTACGGGTCGGTAAGCAGATGCAGCGGGAACCTTGTGATTTTGCTCTATGTCAACATGATCCTGAAGGCACTGGAAAGCCAGGGTAGGAGAGAGGCGGTCATTGCGAGGCAGCACAGGCAACGGCCAGCGTGGGCTTGGGGGACAGTCCCAGACACCTGCCCGGCACCATCCCAGTCGGAAGCTGGAGACCCGCTCTTCCGTAGCCTAGGCAGGGGCAGAGGCGGGCAGAGGCTGGGGGTTTGCTCGCCCTCCCCGCAGTGCGAGGGTGGGCCAGCTGCGTGGGAGAACTGAGCGCACGTAACCCAGCGTAGGGTTACTGACCCTGGATCAGAGGTTCTCTGCTTGGGCCGAGTTAGCCTCCAGGGGGTATTGGGCCAAATCTGGATTAGGTTTTGGTCAAAGTGGCTGGGGAAGGGGCGTTGTTGACATCTAGGGGAGCCTGGGTGCCGCCCACCACCCTGTTGTGTCCAGGACAGCCCCTCCTAAGGGACCACGTCTAAAACGCCAATGCCAGCTTGAGCCCTGCATGAGCAGACGGCTTTATCCATGGGCCTAGCTGCAAGCAGCTACTGGACAGCACCTTTGTGCAGGAGCGCCATTCAGTCAGGGAGAGGACAGTCCTGCGGTGCTCTGGGACAGAGACCCCAACGGAGGCAGGGACGGACCTTCAATGGCCAGGCTCCTGGCACAGGGGCCATGCAGGCCAGTTGCAAACTTGGGGGGTTGTGTTCACATCTAGGGGTAAATGGCTGTGGTGAGCAGCAGAATACACTGAGTGGGTAGAGAATTTTCTCTTGGGTGAAAAAGGAATCACATTTTAATTAAAGGAAGAACAAGACTATTCATTCACTGGTTCAAGATTCTGAAGGTGAGAAATATTCTGTGAAGTTCGGTGCCAATGCACCAGTAGCCAGAGATAATCCAGCTCAGCCAGTTTCTTCTGCCTCAAGATATGGCATTTTAAAGCCTTAGACAATCTAGATGTCTTCTGTAATTTGTCTACAGTGAACTGCTTTCTGCAGTGAATTGCTTCTTTATGGATGATAAACAAACAGGATAAATTCATTCATAATCCTAAGCTCAGGGAAAATGTCACCATGAGAGGGTGGGGAGGGGATGACCATCATGGGGCTGAAAGACCTACAGTGGATAGAAAAAGTAACTTGGGCATGCTGGAGGCCTACCTTCGCCAGCCAGAAAACCCAGAACACACCGGATGAGATCTGACCCTAAAGCTAAAGATCTTGAATTTGGACAGAGTCAAAATCCCAGTGACAGCCTAGGACACGGGCATCCTGCTCATGCCAACTTAAGTCTCACTGAACACACAGGACACCTGTGAGTGGGAGAACTCGGCATCCTTAACGTTCCACGGGAGCTTTCCTGTCCCGCAAGTTCATCAACCTCTACTAATGTTCTTCTAGTATATTTGTGGAGTTCTTATACTTCCATTTATACTTTTACACATTTGAATCTGAAATCCACCTAGAATTCACTTTTGTTTCTTATGCGATTTAAAAGACCTATTGTCCTTTCAGACGGGAAGCCAATTATACCAGAAACACTTAAAGCTAGACAGCCCTTTCCCACCGATTGGAAATTAAGCTTTCATCAGCTGGTGAACTCTCCAAGGTACACTGGCTAGTTCAACAGAAAACTGTTCAAAGAATTTAAGGCGAGAGGCAAAACATGACTCTAATACAAATAAAGAGATGAAAGAGGAAACAGTTTAAATAAAGAGGAAATGGATGAGGCGTTCTAAGAGTTCAGAGAACACATACACTGATAGATCGGAAATACCGACACGCGTGAGCACAGGAGGCCAAAGTAGGTTCTTTTGGGGGTGAGAAGTGGCAGCTTCATAAGAAGAGACTTTGGCTGAGTCATCAGGTGTCTGTGGCCGAGCTGGGGAGTCACTCCGGAAGCAGAAGTGGGCGTGACAGGGTGCACGGGCAGCCCCGCTCAGTTTTCCACCCAAGCAAACCTTACTGTCTCTACCGTGAAAGGTAATTCTTGATAGCTGATGGACCTATTATGTACATGGTGTAGCAAGAATGTTTGTTTCCTGGTTAGGCTTTACATTTGCTTTGCTGGAAGTTTCCATAAGGAATCTGATTGCACTTAAATGGGTGCTCAAGAACATCACAGAACGGCCCTCGCTGGTGGCACAGCGGGTTAGGGCGCAGCACTGCAAGCTGGCCACAGCCGCTTCAACATGATTCGATCCCCGGCCCTAGAGGTGACCCTCAGGGCGCAGCAGACCTCTCGTGTCTCCCCGCTGCTCCCCTCAGCAGTGTACTTCGTCAATCTGCTGGTCTGCTCCCCGCTCTTTGGTGAATCCTCTCACTCTCTGCACCTCTGGCCTGTACCCCAGTTCTGTATGCATAAATCAAAAAAAAAAAAAAAAGAAAAAACATCACAGAACATAAAGGGGTCTGGAGAACAAAACACCTGAGCCCCAGGACTTGAGGCCAAGACTCTTTCCTTGAGAAACAGAAGTCCGAGCCCAGGCGTCTTTCTCCATA